TGAACAACTGCTTAAAATGCTTGTAGACATTGTGCAGCTTTTAAATCGTCTTTGTTGTTACTTTTCCAACAAATTATACTGACTTATTTCATTCACGACAATAGCAATCTTGTCAATATGACGCTAATGACAAATTGTCGGCTCATTTATCTTTGATGTTTGATTGTTTCAGTCCTAATCAAACCGGCTGCCGCACCTTCTTTTCGCCACAGTTTACAGAGTCAATGCTTTGCAAATGTGCTGGTATTATTTTGACACCGGTAACGACCATATCAATGTCACAGCAAGAGTCAGAGTGTTGCGTTATCAATTTCTAAAAGCAATAATCAAGATAAGCTCACTATCTTCTTGCTGTTTATTATTGCTGTACTTTAATGACATTTGTTTTGTTGTTTGCCTGCACCCGCAATAAAACGCCACATCACATCAGTTGCCGCTGATGACAGACTGTGAGACCTAACTCAAACAATTTACCGTCCAAATGCAACAATATTCCCGCTCCCTTGTATAACTTTGTTTTAGATATTTAAAAAAATATTAAGACGTAAGTGCAAGCAAACGATACAACCTCATCAATGTTCAACCTTACAGGAATGTAGTACTCGTACTCGTACTCGTACTCATACTCATATTCGTATATAGATACATTTCTCCTTAAAAATTCATCAAAATACACACACGGCCGGCCCGTACACTCGAAGACTCTGCTCCGTACATATGCCGCCGGTGTTTTTTACACAATCAAACGGTTTTAGGTGTGAACGATTTTTTCCTCTGGATTCGTCTGCAACGACACTTTGTTGATTTGCTTCGAACCATGTTTTGAAGTCGTTAACTGCAACAATTTCTGGAAAAGTGAGCTTAAGTTGATTGCTTTTATAACTGTGGAATACGATCTGTGCTAAGTCGGCTAATATTGTCTAGTACAAACATTCATGACGCAGCACCTAATTAGGCGTAGAAACAGTGTAGAAACGGCGTAGAAACAGCGTAGAAACAGCGTATCGTAGCTTTGTTTATAAATACTTACTTACTCGCTTACATACTGCTTACATATTTAGTATAAGGCGAGGTGTGAGTACAACAGTATGTTATGTAAATATGGGTTTCCTGCTATTAGACGTAAAATCGTATTAAAATCATGCCGACATCCATTGCCTGTACTATACGTCCAAATAAAACTAACTCCGATTCTTAGAAAATGATTTAACTGCAAAGTGATAAATTTTCTCAAACACGTTACTAAGCCACGCCTTAAGCATTGCTAACAATGTTAGAAAGAATAGCAACTTTGTGTTTGTTGCAGATCGATCCCCGCCACTTTGTTTATAAAAGTTTATTGCATGTTCACTGAGCGGTACCCTCAAAGAAAAACACACACTTCTTCACTTAAAGTTTTCGGTCACAGTTATTACGCAAACTAAACTCAAAATTTAATAGCTTTCCCAGTCAAAGTATGAATACGCAACGTTTGAAAGAGATACTTCCAGTATTTCACAAAAAAAAATAACAAAAAAAAACAAAATAAATAATAATAAATAAATAAATGTAAATGGTATTTACAAATTATCTAAATCAGGTGGCCTTTAATTAGACATATTACATTTATCACATACATATGTAAACATTTTCTTGTTTTTGTATGAGAAAGTAATTTATAAGCTAATAAAATACATAAAAGTTAACTGGAAAGAGACTATAAAGACACCCTTTACTTATAATAGATTTGAAGGGTACACAAGAACGTTTAGATTTAAATATATAAAAACAAACATACATACATTATTGATAGAATAGTCAATGAAACGTCGCAATTTATAAAATCTCTATACAAACATATATCTACATTGTCAGTGTATAACCTATTTCCTACCCAAAGTAGGTTAGAGCCTTCTTCACTCCAATTTCTCAATATATACAACTTGTTTTCGTAGTTTTGTACCTCGAAAATTCTTCTGCTTCTAATAAGTCTAACCCGTGATTTCTGAACCTTCCTTTTGTATTAATATCGCTATTAGTACCTAAAATACGTTGGAGCCCTTTTCAATCTATTCCCTAATTATATTCGATTTGTATCTTGCAACCATTGCTTTCTTCATATTTTTCCTGCATTCGAGCCATTTTAATATCCTTTTTACGACCTCTTGCATTATACGTGTATACATTTTCGTTGTCTGCTATTATTACCCGAAACAGGTAAGAGCCTTTTTAACTCTATTTTTCTCAATATATACGACTTGAATCTTGTAACTTTAAGAGTTTCTTACTTCTTAGTATTTTATAGATTACCATTTTTATCACCATTTTCCTCTTGCTCTGTAACAATGTTGGTATCCTTCAAAGATAGGTTGAATGGTGTTGTCATTTAGCTTCCGATTGACGTATCTAAACGATCTTATACGACCTCTTGCGGTACACATGCATAAATTTTCATTGTCTGCTATTATTACCCGAAGTAGGTTAGAGCCTTCTTAACTCTAATTTCTCAATGCATACGATTTTAATCTTGTAACTTCAAGATTCTCTTACATCTTACCACTTCATAGATTACCATTTGTAACTCCATTTCCCTCATGCCCTGTAACAATTTTGACATCCTTCAAATATCGGTTGAATTATGTTGTTATTTAGTTTCCGATTGATGTGGCAAAAGGATCTTATACGACCTCTTGCGGTATATATGCATGCATATTCATTATCCTTTTATTACAAATCTGTTGCTTTGCGTTGCTAATCAGCTATCGGTTACTACGGCCAAGTCATATTAGTAGTTTCACCGTCATAAAATAGATGATAGTGTTATAGCTCCAGCTGTTACAATTTAGCCTTTTTAATCGTCGTATAGACGTGCACATTTAACAAATTTTTTCAAAACTTAACTCTTAATGCAACTGTCAAAATGAGGCTTACTCATCTACAGTAAAAACTCTCTTACGTGGACATTAATCTTCAGACAACTGTTGTTCGTTAAAAATAGGTGTATGGATAATGGGGATTAAGGGCTTGCTTTTTGAATAATGATCGACTTAAGAGTATTGCCTGGACAACAGCGAAACTTTTTGTAAAAGTTTCAGTGAATTTAATTCGTTGTTTTAATTTCGCTAAATATAGTACTATATAGAGACTGCGAAGAACAGGACCAAAATAACTGTGATTTGCGAAATTAATTTACATAAGCGGACGGACAGACAAATATTAATCACTATCTAAACACTGTTACTTAAATTGATTCTAAATTAATTTAATATCTCCACCCCCGCCGCTTACTTCAATAGTGACGTTACGTAGCATCGAATATTAAACTGAAGTTAACGAACAACAAAAATAGTTTTCAAATGAAAAAGATTATTATCTGCTTGCTCTCTAATAAATGTTAAGCCCAACATCATAAACCACGCTTTAGAAAGGTTCCAAAAAAATCACTTCTTACTTTTTTAAGATAAATACTTATAAAAAAACATGTAAAATGCAAATAATAATTATATAATATAATTTACTAGGACAATTAAATTATGCACTGAAAATGTAGCATTGATTATGAATGAAATTAAATTTATGTCAATTACAAAGTAAACCCCTTCACTTTACTCATGGAAGCAGTCAGTGTTCAATCTTACTAACATGCAAGTACATTCAATGAAATCAACAAAAATTTTGGCAAAAGCACCAAAAATGCGAATTTTTTTTTTAAATCATTTTTGAAAATAATCATTCACGAGTGTTATGCTGGTGATATATATTCTCATAACAAAATCCTTTTCATTTATTAATAAAATTGATAGTAAGAAACCTTTTGAATATATTTATTACTCCACGCCTCCGATGCAATAACGTATATAATTTCTTATACTTAGAATAAGGAAAAAAATTATATATATATTTTTACAAATCACCAAGGGCACAATAGATCCTTCAGTGTACTATTCATTTTTCATAATAGATCACCAACAATATTGTACTTCAAACACTCAAAAGAGACTTCCCAATTAGATTAGACTAAGCTTATTTTAGATATTTGACTCATAAAATAAGATAACACAACAAAAATGACAAGTAGCTGTCTGGAAGCAATGAAAAGGTGCTTTTTACGGTGGGATTTTTTCAAAACAACAACAGATATAATACATACAACATATCGAAAACTACAAAATAACAACATTTTATATAATACATACTCTAAAATCAACAATCCGAAATCTATAAAATATGACACCTAACTTTTTGCTGTGGGATTTTTACAAAACACATCCACCGATACATATGTATCGAATAAATATATGAATATTTAAAAATATAGGTTCCCATTTCTAATTACTCTTAAAAACCATTAAATTCCATAAAAAACTTTGGAACTACAAGGCACAGATACAGAAAATTGGCGTATTCAAGAATTTCAAATGCTTTCTGGCGCCAAAGCCTGAGAAAAACACTTTTTAGTTATCCAAGACTAGTATTCAAGAAATCATCATAGAGAGGGAGAAGAAGAGAAAAAAGAATGAGCGAAATAAAAAGAAAGGTACTGACCCATTAAGAATGAAAGAGTTTGATCAAGCCCACTCAAGCTTTAATGGCAATAAAAAGGGTCTGAAAAAGAAAAAAGGTTTTCATATGCTTAAACGTCCAAAGTCTTATAGATGCTATAGTAATTAATGTACGAAAAGTGGAGAAAAAAAATTTGTAGGCAGTTAACAACGTTGATTAATGTAGGGAAAACCCTTTTATACTGATTTTGGCAACATGTACCAATATAGATCGAAACAGGGATTTTAATTTCTCTTTTTTTTAAGTCTAAATATAATATTTCTTTAAAACCCGTTAGCAAAACGAAAATAAGTAACAGCATGAGTTGTGATATTATATACTCCATGAGAACCGAAGAACATTGAGGATGATAAACTAAAACAGTTTGGAAACTACAAACATTTTTAAAAAGAAAAAAAATTTATATATATATATTTTGTAATAATTTTTATTTGAATTATTATTATAATTAACTGCATATAATAATGTTTACATAAATATATGAGTATTAACAACTTATTTTAATCGTTGACACTTATGATATCGAAGTTATTAATAGGTTCAATACTTTTATATGTTGTTGAAATAGTGGATAAATTTGCAGGCTTAACGCTGGTTGCATGACCACTACTCTTTATATTATCAGTTGATGATACTTGTTGAATATTATCGGCTGGATTACACGATGCCGAGAGATTATGGGTTAAACTATGACGACGGAGATCACAATTTCGACGAAATACTTTTCCACAAGACCCACAATTGTAGGGCTTAATGTCTGTGTGAGTTAATAAATGAGTTTTTAGATTTGATCGCTGATTGAAGGAACGATTGCAAACTGGACATTTATGTGGTGATTCTTCCATATGCAAAATTTTATGAACTGCAAGTGTACGTGACTGACAAAATCCTTTCCCACATTCCAGGCACTTAAAAGGTTTCTCTTTAGAATGTATATATCTGAAAATTATAAATAAAAAATTTATAATATAGTGTCTATACTTAATATATATGCAAGTGAAAAATTAAATTAAAAAATTAAAGTTGTCAATATTTCGGTAACAAGACAAAACATCAATTAATTCATTTAAAATAATAAGTATCATTTATATCGTATTTAAAAAATTCAGAATATCACAATTTTCTTTTAAAATATTTTAAGCTATTTATAATACAGTGAAAACTCTTCTAACAAGCAGTCCTATTAAAAAAACATCACTTTTCGGTGATCATTTTTTTGAAAAGAAAATTTTTTAATCATTATTAAAAAAAATTGTACCCATTTTTAACTAACACCAGTATTGAATGAAAAAAAGTAGGCTGATAATGAGTCTCTGCTCGAGAGAGTATAGATTTATATATAGTCCGCTCTCTTGTGAGTATACACTTATCATTGGCTAACAGTTATTCGTTAAAAAAAGGTGATGGGGCGATATGGGTTAGATCGTTTTAAACACCGAAAATACAAATTTGTTTTCAGGAAAGTTTGTATTAAAAAGAGATATCCCTTCAAGGATATCCGTTAGGAGATCTCTCCTCCGTTAGTGGAGTTTTCTCATTAATTGCTATTGCTTCCGATATTGGTAAAGTATAAATATTTTTTTAAAAAATTATTATTATATATACTCTTCTTTTATCTCTTCCTCTTTCGCTTCTTTACTCTCCCTCTCTCTGTCTAACCTCATGCTCTTTATTTATGCTCTGTAACTCACCATACAATAAACATTTCCATGTTTTTTTTTAATTGCACATAAAACAAATGATGAGTACAATTTTACAAAATACCATGTTACCAAATATGTGAATTCTGTCTGAATACCCCAAAATTTTGTTTTTTTTTAGTAAAATTTACCTGTGATCTCTAAGGTGATCCTGCCGACGAAATGCTTTTCCACAAATTTCGCACGAATAAGGCCGTTCGTTGGTATGAGTTCGTTCGTGTATGAGAAGATTATAGGATTTTGTGAATTGTCGATTACAAAACTTACAAATAAATTGCTTTTTGGAACGTTGAGTGCTTGTTGTGGCTGTTGCAGTTGTTCCAGCAATTGCAATAATAGTCTTTTCTGATATAACACTCGTTTTACAATTAGAAGTTGTTCCGCACTCCTGCAGATACTTGCTTGCATTTTGGTTACCATGTTGTGATGGTATAAGTTCAGTTTCAGTAATTGTACTTGATTGAGTTTGAGGTACCTGATAGTTTCCAGTGCTAAAAATTAGGTTGCTGTAATTGGGTTCCAAGTCTGTAGTTTCAAATGATAGTGGCTCCTCTACTCCTAATAGTTGAATATCACAATCACTTATATTACTATTTGCATACTCATTGTTATTAGTATTAACTGTTATTGCCGGTAAAGAGGTACTCAGCGCATTGAATTTGAGCATTTTCTCTCCTATACCACCACAATCGATCACTGGGTTTTCACTTGAGATATTTGTATCGCTATTTAATTCTGTATTTGTAGCTACAAATGTGTTTTGAGTGGTACTTGTAGATAAGGGGCTGTGTCTGAACACTTCAGCTTTACAAGTGATACGTTGTAATGCTAAATATGATTCCAGAGCTTGAAGATTAAGTGCTGCAGCCGCTGGTGAGTTCATAGGAAGTAATGCAGCTTGATGCAAGCTGCTGACCATTGTACCTTGCAAAGAGAGTACAACTGCTGCAGTAGCCAAGTCATTTGTATCTGGAACACTAACTGTATTATTACAATTATTCTGTATAGCAGTACGACATATATCCGCACATATTGTTTCATCCGTTTTACCCTTTTTATTTGCACAATCTTCTGTTTGAACAATTTTATTGTTATCATTTAAAGTATGTAAGGAACTGAAAGAAGAATCAATTCTTTTCTCAGAGCAGACCTCTTTTTTATAATTTGAATTATTTTGATTTTGTTTAGGTTGCTGCGACTGTAGCAGTCGTTCTTGCAAATTACTTATGGTTGATATAGTTAAGGAATCCATTTTTTAATTTTTTCAAAAAAAATCCAAATGGTTAAATCCAAAATCTCAGCAGGGTGTCTAACAATCTTCTAGACTAAATTTTGTTATCCGCAAATGCACCTACGCAAATCAAGCTTGTTGATTTCAGAAAATAAAACGAAATAAACGTTTCCGTGGAAATTTCGATATTAAAAACCACACGCCATCATAAATCACTTTTTAGTCACGCTTTTAAACTGTTAGGAAACTTGAAATTAATGCATAAATATTGTACAAAAACAAAACAACAAACTCGAGGGAATTACATTATATAGTAAGAGTTATCCCGAACACATCAATTACAGTTCTGGTACCACAGCCAAGCATGACTTTAGAAAATTTAGCCAATTCTTGTTGGGAATTGAGAAGACAGTAGTTATTGCAAAAGATTATGATAGAGTAAATGACATCACTACGTGCAAATCTTCCAACACATATCGTTTAGAGATCGTTTAGAGTTTCGAAATCGTTTTCTATTTCTATAATACTAAATCCAAAAATGTTGATCTATTGACATATACATACATTGAATGCAAAAATATATCTTTAATATCCAAAAGCATTATTATGATTTCTTCTAATGTGTGTAAATGTGTCTAAATGCGTTCTTCAGATAAGTGTGACTTAGAGTAACAAATATGTAAACTCGCGACGTGACGTTAATGAGTACTATTTAAATTAGTGTACTCATAATCTCTATGGCTACAACTTTACAACGTTACAACTTTACAACGTTACAACTTTACAACTGACAACTGACAAACAATGGAACAAGTATTCTTCAACTGATTATGTACCACAACAAAGCGCGCGCACTTCCGATAAAGTTCACGATACAACTAAAATCTACAACCTTGCGTTTTTTATTCGGACCAGTGTAGCGCATTCGTTTTACTACACTTCTCTCCATACTTTTCATACTTTTCATTTTCGTACTCACGTTCACGCACCCATACTTACACAAAACAGTTGACGGCATGATCGTGAACGGTGAACGATCTGACGTCTGTGTTGGTGCAGCAAACGAAAAATATCGTCAAGATCAGGTGAGTCCAGACTAAAGACTGTGAGAAAATGTTGATAATGAGAAGTAAATTAAGGTAAGAAATGTTGAGCAACCAGAATTATATTGTATATATCTACGATATTTACAATAGCTCGCATATAATTCATGAACGATTGACGATTCTCAGCCTCCGTAAAATTAAAAAAATTTAACTTGTTTAACAGGTTAGTGCTAAAGTTGTTTTGATGGATATTTTTACATTTTTCCCTTGAGCGCATTTACTATCTTACCTAATCTGCCAAGAGAACATGTTTTATCAAAGTGTAGGAGTTGCTAACTCGAATGCTTTAGTTTTTCTTTTATGTTTCTCCTAAATAGAACAGAATTTCACAAACTCAATATTATTTTTTTTGGAATTTATAAAAATAAATAAATAAATAAAATTTGGTTTTTTTATTTTAATTTTTAATTTATACAATTTTTATATATTTTAATTTTCCCAAATCTGCAGCAAAATTAATTGCTGTAAAAGATACTTATTAGCAGCAGTGGCTTCAACTTTAACTTCGCCTTGATAACTTCACTAATAGCAGTAAATGCTAAATGCACCGCAATAAAGAAGGAAAAAAGATTTAATTGCGTTGCAATTTGATATGTTTGGAAATTTCTACAATTTACTTTTAATTAACTTCATCGCATTGCTTCATAATACTTTACAAATATATCATAAGTGTTTCTTACCACTTAAACGAAAATAATTTTGATTAATACGATTCAAACATGTCATTCGCTCGTTTTGCTCAATTTTGCTCACAACACTCACCACACTCAGCCAATCATACGATATACGCCAAAGACGTTTACTGCCTGCCAAAGTCCTTCATTCACATCGTCAAAACGGCATGCATTCAAACCTGCACTAATGATTGCAAAACGAAACCCATTATTAGCAGTTTTGGAATTAAGCATTAATTATTAAGAGCATACTTACCCTATTCTCGTGTCTTATTCAGAGACATAACATCCCATTACCATAACATTGTATTTTAAATATTTTTTAATTTTGGAGTATAATCATATCTACCATATCATATCATAGCATATCATATATAGACATTAATTGGTATGACAAAATCAGACGCCTATGCGTTGAAGCTGCTATATAAAAACTGAATAATTAGATGACTATAAACTATAGTTGCCGAACAGACATCATGTCCAGCCAAACCAATTTTTGAACTCAATATAATGAGTAGTGTGAAAAGGGTTCATTAAATTAGCAGGAATATTTATAATACTGTCATCGATAGTGAGCAACAGCAGAATTAAAAAAAAAAACTTTAAATCCCCCAATGTGGGCAGTAGGGAAAAATAAGGACCACCTAAGATATGGTCTTTAAGACTTATATACTAGACATAAGAAGAGCTACGCAACATAAGCGTTAAAATAATCAAAACTGTAAAAAAAGCACTGACTCTCCACTAACTATACGTACTACGATCATGAAAAGAATGATGAATAAGAAGCTTAGCAGTAGAAATGTAACTATTTTTGAATAGTTCCGAGATGTGAATTCTTTTAGATATATTTTACTATCAATCATTTCATTTCAACTCAACAATTCTCTTCAGTTTTTAAAAGGATATCCAACAGTCTTAATACCGCTTCTATAACGCTATTAAAGAGCTCCGAACATAGTAAGAGCGAAACGTATTTGATATGTTTTAATTCTTGTGTAGGATCACATCTACCATCATATGGACTCCCATACGACATAGCTAAGATTTAAAAGATATTCAATATCTATTCAGAGTCTTAAAACAAACAGTATCAAATGGAGAGCATTTAATAAATCCAGATAGTGCCAACAAACTATAGAACACTTTGAAGGCTCTATGAATAGTAAGTATTGTTGATTAGATCGACAATTATTATAAAATTAAGTTTCTGGTTTTTACGCTAACATAATCAAATGATTAGAAGTAAATCAATCATTTATAAAAACAAATAGAGAAAGTTAAGAAAATATATTATATTATATTATATTATATTATATTATATTATATTATATTATATTATATTATATTATATTATTATTATATTATATTATATTATATTATTATTATATTATATTATATTATATTATTATTATATTACATTATATTATTATTATATTATATTATATTATTATTATTTTATTATTATTATTATATTATTATTATTATTATATTATTACTATTATATTATTAATATTATATTATTATTATTATTACTATTATTATTATATTATCATTATATTATTATTATTATCATTATTATTATTATTATTATTTTATTATTATTATTATTATATTATTACTTTTATTATTATTATTATATTATTATCATTATATTATTATTATTACTATTATTATTATCATTATTATTATATTATTATATTACTATATTATTATTATTATTATTATTATTACTATTATTATTATCATTATTATTATATTATTATTATTATATGTTATTATTATATTTTTATTATATTATATTATTAATATTATTATTATATTATATTATATTATTTTATATTATATTATATTATATTATATTATATTATATTATATTATATTATATTATATTATATTATATTATATTATATTATATTTTTTACTCTTCATAGCCGAACACATGAAGAGTATATTCGCTTTCTTCTTAAAATGCATTGAGAGTTCAAGAATTTTTAAATTTCAAATGGGCACTCATGCTCTGAGTCCATTTTTCTTGCTTGGTCAATGAGCGAAGATAGCAGCACTTAAATTGAGCTTGATGAAACTATGTTGTACACAGTTATGTCTTAATAATATCTTAAAAATAACTAGATAATAAGTAATAGGGTAATATTCTAAACTTCCTGTGCAATTCATTATATGTGAACATAAATTTGTAAGTAACGTTTTGAACTACGTTATAGAAATATATAATTATGTGTCGATATGTTGGCATAAAGTGATCCAATTAAATACGCAATCACAAATCATTAAACCAGTGAAAAGAACCGATTTATGATATATGTATATCATATATTATAATGTTACTATATTAAGGGTATTCGCGTTTTGGTGTACAGAGGTGTGTAATGGGGAAATAGTGTATTTAGTTCCACTACAGTACGAACACACTTAATTATATGTACTAATTGATTAAAGAAAATTACCGGTTGTCAAACCAATTAATTTTAAGTTAAGTTATTGAATTTCATATGTAAAAAGTAGATTAATATAACAATCATTATTATACCGAAAATTCTTTAAAAACCGAAATTGGAGATTAGCACATTTAGATCACTTACTTAAATAAAAGCCAAGTTTTTTTATATTCTCAGCTATTATATCAAATTTCGTAGCTCACTTTTCGACAAATGTACGAGTATCTACAAAGTATTGAATGCATTAAAAGCACAACTAAAATATTTTATGTGACAGCATTTAAACACATTCTTCGCAGTGCTGCCCACATCAATTCTTCAGAAGAAACACACGTTCGAAGTTAATGCCTTTGCATATGTGCACTCATAGGTATGAGAGGTACTCGTAACGACACAGAAATGAGGCAAGTATGTGGTATGATTTTTGCGTTTAGAGAGCCTTGACTAATATGGTGACAATGCAGCGTGTTATTTCGAAAGCATTTTTGTTGTTGTTACTCTTACATCGAAGCGTGATTACCCCTATTATATGTTCAAAAATACGCATATTCAAAATTTTGCGTTGATATCAATAGTGGATAGCGTTAACTTCATGAGGTTCTCCAATATTTTGATAAGACACTGTTATATGGCATATATATGTCATGTATTTATATGAGGACGATCTCAAATTTTCAATGCCTCCGCTCTAAAACGAACATACGTAAACTTATCGGCGACTTATTGCCAGCTGTGTCATCAAGCCATTAAGAATTATCTCTAAAGGATTCAGTACTTTAAGATGTCCCATCAAGAACATTTCAAATATTTTATATTTCACAGCATAATGATTGCAGTGCACTGATATTGCAGTACACTGTAATAAATATCCGATTGAAATCTCAATAAATTAACAAACAAATAGGTTTTATATATGTATACTACTAAATTTATTCTACTTTTATATTTCTAATATGCATATATTTTTTCTACCTTAAAGTTTCATATTTTCTGATGGTAATGATGCAATTATTATATACGAGAAGTATCCGACAAATTCAATATTTAGACAATTAAAAAAACTTTCGCCTGTCGAGTAGAGGATTAAACTTAGATCTTCTATATAATTCACTTTTACTTAAGACATTAACATTTTTATCAAGTTTTCCTTACGAATATCTTGTCTCAAAGACATGGATTTTAAATAAAACAATTATATCTTCTTATATAGAAATCGTCGCTCACACAGTCTACGCTTCAACTCTCGGAATATAAGTGGTGTAAAGATATTATTAGTAGCCAAAACTATATTATATGATGGATGACATATTAATTTTACTTTTTGAGTGATTAAATATTCGATTGTTTCTATTATCCTTAAGAAGTATGCTCCAACTTTAACGGTGATTATTTCTTCTTTAAACAAAATTGTTCAATTATCAAATAAGTATTTGTATTTCAACCAAAGTTACTAATATAGTTTCTTGATTCGCTAAGGCTATAGTCGACGCATATACAATTTCTTTAAAAAAACGTTTGATCTCTTTATACTTGCTTAAAGTAATTGTTTTATAATTCTGGCTATATAATTGTTATAGAATAGATGTTTACTACATATATTGATAGGTTATTACTTAATAGGCTATACAGTTTAAACATATGGACTTTAGACCAATTGATAATGTAAATTGTT